ATTTTTAAACAGAAATTAGTTTTCCTTTGAGAAAACGTCTAACAAAATTTAAAGGAAACTTTTTAATAGATAGCATTAAGTGTGTTTCGAGAAAAAATGGTAAAGACTTCAAATTCCATATTAACTAAAAAAAAAAAAAATAAAATACATTTGCATTACGAAGAAGTAAAACGTGTCCGAGAAGTTTTGTTAGTTTTTTGTAAAAGAAGTAAAAAGAAAATTATTAGTTATTTTTTATTATAATTTTATTTCTTTATCAAGTAAAAATTTTAAGATTATAAATTCAATGAAATTAGAAAAAAACATTTAGATAAAAACCAATATATTTTCGCGAAAAGGTAATTTGTTTTTGTTTAAATATAAATAATTATACAGAGAATATTTTTTAGCTTTACATTATTCAAAAAAAAAAAAAAAATAACCTCAAAAATTAATTGATTAATGAATTAATTAATTTAAACTTTTTCAGGTAAGGTTCTGAGTTGGTTTTTCCAAATATTAAATTTTGGTTCAAGAATTAGTTCGCCGTGAGAAGAAAAGTTGAATAAAATTTTTGAATAGAAGTGTTTTTTAAAAAAATAAAAGTTTGCATGTGTACGCCGAAACTTTTTGAGATAAGATTCAGAGTTTGTATTTGCCAACTTTTAATTTTGGTTCAAAATTTTTCCTTTGGGAAGAAAGAGTTTAATGAAAATTTTAAAGAAAAAGGTTTTTAGAGGAAAATGCAGAAATGCTTTTTTATTGTTAAAAAATATGAAAAATTGTAAAACATAAGTTTTCTCTGAAAATAAAGTCACACTTTTTTAGAAAAACAAGTAAAGTTTTAAAAATTTATTCAAATTATCTTAATTTATATTTTAAATTATTTATATATCCAGCCCTAACCGCCAAAAGGACGTAAGCGATATTCTTTTTTAAATTTTCCTTTTGATGCAGAAATAATCCTAGAGCATTAAGATGTATTTCTGCATTAAAAATAAAATTTTGAAAACAGGCCGCTTACGTCTTTTTGGTGGTTAGGGCTCGATATGTATGTAGTATGTATGTATGTATGTACAAATGCCTACATAAACGTATAGCGAAAATGTTGCTTTCTAAAAAGATTAAAAATGGCAGAAATTTAAAAAAAAAAATAGGGAAAAATTTGTACTTTTAGAAAGAGTTATACAAAATATTTTTTTAAATTATTTGAATTTATTTTGAGATATTTTTTTTATGCATACATACATACATTGTATTTAACACAAATTCCAAATTATACTCTAAATTACGAATCATTTAAATTTTGCTGAGACACTAGTGAACACGTTAGATATTAGTTAGCTGATTAAAGATATGTAATTCCTTTAAGACTCATTTCACCTACTAAAGAACATTACTATGTATTGTAAGTACATACATACATACATATATCTGAATGAGTCTTTGTTTTTCATTCTGAATTTAAATTTTTTGCTTTAAATTGTGCCACTTTGAGCCTACTAAGTTTACTGATCTCACAATTTTCATTTGCTAGGCGCGCCCTAAGAACGTGTTTTTAAATTTTATTACCTTCATTTTATCACTCGTTTTTATTACCACTTGCACTCTTTCACCTTGTCAGACAGTGAGTACCGGCTTTTAGATATTTTGTAAGTTTTTTTTTTTTGTAGCAGATATTCGTACACTGCATACATATGTATGCACGTACATACATGCTCAGGTACAGACATATCGAGCCCGAACCACATAAAAGATGTAAGCAAAATTTTTTTCAAAATTTTATTTTTAATGCAGAAATGCTTCTAAATGCTCTAGAAACAGTTCTGCATCAAAAAGAAAATTTTGAAAAAATGTCACTTACATCTTTTTGGCGGTTAGGGCTCGATATTAAGTTGTTTATTTTTGATAGTTTTTTACATAAATGAACAGTGGTCTCCGTACGCTCTTTTCGGCTTATAACTTGTTCTCTGCGCTCTGCCCTATAGTTATGTACGTGCGAGTTTACATATATTTATATACATATGAGTCCACCGCACGACCCGGCATTTATAACTATTACTACCATTTATTATGTCGGCTTTTGAACACTTCATAAGTACCTACATACATGTATCTACAATCAGCGTTGCCACTTGAGAATATTTTTAGGTACAAAAACATCTACCAAATCGTTTTTCCAAACCACCAAAAGTTTTTTTTAATCATTAAAACGAGATTTCTTCGTTTTACGAGGTTTTTAGCTACACAAAAAATATCAAACAATTACATTGTTGGTTGAAAATTCATACCAAACTTTGAAGTTGAACAAAATAAATTTAGGCCTTTAAATAAAAGTATTAATGTATTACATAAATAAAACATTTGTAAAAAATGTAAATATGTACCTTTGAACTTCTTCAGTTCATATCCAGCATTTTAGCACTTAAATTAGTGTTGTACTAACTTGAGGTTAACACCTTTTTGCCAAGTGTCAGTGTCACATTCTGCAAATTGCCTAACAGCACTTTTTCCTTAAATGGTAGTTAAACTCCAACAGCTAATCATAGCTTTGGGAAGTGAGTTTTGGTTTGCAGAAAATAGTGTGTTTAATAAAATATATTTAAACGTAGAAACGCAGTGCAGTCTCGTACAACTGTCCGTATCCCGAAACGAACAGGAAACTACTACAGTTTTCATTCATTTTCATATCCGGAAAACGGTTCAAAAGTGATGATGTTATTTGAAAGCAATACAGGATTGTATTTTATTGGTTCAAGCTGAACATTTGTATCGTCGGCAGTGGTTGAGCGTGCAGCGGAGCTTGCTAGTATTTGTTAGTTTTCAGAAGGTGTTTGGGTTCGATGCCGGCAGGCACTTCTATATATTTTTTTTTTTTCGAACAACGAAAAAGCAAGCGTGAAGTGCAGAATTAAAGCGTATTGAACGAAAAATGCAATCAGACAAAAACGTATCCGTTTCAAAACAACTTTCGGTGCGAGTCTGTACTTACGTTTCTATCGCATACTTTACTACTGTCATCCCTGAATTGGCGCGGCAAGCGTCAAGAGACTGTCAAAAGTCCTCTTGCCCATACAATTTGTATGAATCATTCTACAATAACGCGGCAGGCCATTACGTGTTTTGTGTTGGAAAGAAAGGGAGATGACAAAAAAGTGAAAGTGGGAAAGGGGATAACGCAACGCTTAGCGCACGAATCCAGGGACGGCCGTTAGTTTTCCTTTTTCGAAACTACTTTCGGATTTTTCGCTAGCGTGGAAGCGAGCAAATTTTAGTGCTCATTTTAGCGGTTGCATCTTCAAAAAACATTTTTGCCTTCCAAAAGCTTCATCAAACCAACCAAACTACCAAAGGAAAATGAAGCTATCAATTTTGGTCCAATTGGACCATAACGGCAAGGCTGTCTGTCTACCTTGTGCATGGAAGTGTAAAGTATCTCAATTTCATGCGCTCACTTGCCACCACACACAGATGTATACGTAACAAAAGCCAACCTTACATTTATTACGAGCTCATACAAGCATATCGGCGGCGCTTCAAGCAAGTACGAGTATTAGCGACTTTTTGAGCGGCGCATGAAATCATTTCCAGTTGAGACATCGTCGGTAACGAGTGTGAATTTTGAATACCTCAAAAATTAAAGTGTAATTTCTGTGTCGCCAACGCGGAAGACGACGAAGGAAATAAAAGCATAGAATACAAAAACACACACACACACACTTTGATGACGTAGTGTGAAATTTAAGCCAAAGCTGGAATTAAAACAGCACAAAGTCTTAGAGACAAAGTACAAAGAATAAAAAAAAGCTGTAAACTATAAAAGGAAAACTATTAAAAATAATAATTCATTAGTGTGCTGCAAGAAAACATTTGTGGAAAATAATATATCGCCGCCAGCTTGAAACGCTGTCGTCATTCTGACCATACATAGATATACGCACATACGCACATACACACCTGTATATTTGTGCTTGAACGCACACCTAATTTTTTATATATCTATAAAATATACCAAAACGGCAACATTTGTTGTCGCAGTGAATTGTGTAAAGGTGTTTTTCCAACATTTGAAATTGTGCAATTACTTAGTTTGTGTAAAACAGTGACAACGTGTCGAAGTGACAACTGCCGAAAAAAAAACGTGTTGGAAAAATCAATTGCGAACCTCAAAAGCATTTTCGCTGTTTGTTTTTTTTTTTGTGTTGAAGTTTGCTAGAGGTGAGCCTGCATTAAAATTTTCAACATTTCCGCTACTTTTTATGTAAAAACTTGTTACCAATTGCCACAGAGCTGCAAGCTTGCAAAGTCTGCCAGGTAGTCTCATTTCGCAGTCGCCCACAAATATGCAAAAAAAAATATCCTTCGGCTGAAATTTTGTTCATTGTGTAATTGCGTGGCACGCGTTATGCCTTATGCCGACTCCAGCCGAGCATCGTTGGTGGTGCCCACGTAGCAATGTGTTGCCCTTTGTTTTTTTTTTGCTGTGTAGGTATGACCAATAAGGCGATTTTACTTGTGGCAACGTGTCTAAGCAGAAGTGAAGATGTAAAAGCGTTTTAGAAAGTTTGTTTTAATGGAAAAAAACTAAATAAGTGCAAAGAATGCAAAACAATTTAAATAAAAAATTTAAAAAGAAATAAAAAAAATTAAAAAAATTTTCTTCAATCCAAAATTCAATTGCGAGAAATTTTCAGCCCCTTTTCAGGACCTTAACAAGTTTTACAAAATGTAGAATAGGAAACCTCAGCAAATTTGGCAAACTTTTTTTTTTATTAAAAGTTGTTCATAAACCAACCACACTCTGCTATTATTATTATTACTTTAAAACATCTTTATATTTATATGTGTATTCCTTTTAAAGGATAAACATCTGTTCTACAACATAAATTACAAAAGTACACACAAATTTATCGTAAAACATATGTTCATTTCTCTTTATTTATTAAATATATTTTTCTCTCTCTTCTATTCCACACCTCACCCCCTCACTCACACAAACACACTCTCAAACACACTCACAGAGTCAAACGAGTGACATCACACTCGCCAATCAGCAAGCACAAGGACTTATACGTCAAGCGGACGCTCGTAATCGTCAGCTGATTGAACAGGATAACGCTGCATTGAATCGTTTGTGGAACGAATTGATTAAAGGTCTGGAGACACGTCGCGATTCATTGCAAAGTATTGCCGAACGTTGGGACGATTTTGAGAATCGCTTGCATAGCTGGGAGAAGGCAATTAGCCGTTTGGAAGATAAATTCCGCAATGTCGACCCAGTAGTTAGGTCGCGTCGTCATTTGGAAGATACGAAGAATGCCATCCAGGTGAGTGTTTGTTAATATAAATGTTTACATATGTATGTTAATTTTAGGTAAACAAATCAAGTAGAGATTGAATAAATGAATTATGACAGTCTTATGAAGAAAGCCATGGGTGCTTAGAGTAGAGTTTGTATTAACAGAAATGAACGAAAAGAGAAATATTTGAAAATAGTGCATACTTGGAATTTAAATTAGAAAAACTTAGCTATGAGTAGAAAAATTAAGAGAACCAAATTTTTAAAATCGTGAAATCGTGACCATTTTTGTATTACTTTCCCAGCTTCTCTCTGTGATAAATTTTAATTTAGAGTTTTATAAAATATTTAGTTTTTGAAACTTGATGATTATAAAAACTTTTATTTAGTAAACCATGTACTAGCTCGTATATTTAAAGCCATAGCCGTTTTTGATATATAAATTCCAGTCAGGGCTAATTGGCTGCTGCGAGGTGGCGTTGAGTTCGAAATGTAAAAAAAAAACGTTCTTTTGGTTTGATTTAGCTTACAATTTAGTCTGTTCGACAAGCTGATAATTATTGCAAATTATCACAAATTATCAAGCCTTGGCGTTCGCATACGCAAAAACTAGCAAAGTAGGGGAAATTGAGAGCGCCAAGTGACAGTTGACTTGGAGGGGAAGTTGCTAATTCCTGCTGGAAAAATTTTGCAAATTATGAAATTAGTGAAATTTATTTTGATTACATTTAAGTTTAAAATAACTTATTAGAACTGCAAATGTTTCGGAAGAAAGCAAACACTAATTACTACTTATGTTTGCTTAGCAAATTGCTTTAAATAAAACTTTTAAACTTTTAATTTATACTCTTTTCATGTTTTTTATTTTATGCTTTAAAATGTAAACAAAATTTCGATCAGCTGTACTAACAACTTCCAAGTTTAAGCTAATTTAGCGTTCGCGTACTTTTTAAAATTTGAGATATAATCATTCGTTACTGGCCTGCGAGTTTCTGCTGGATATTTTTCTCTGAAGATCTATTCGAAATATATTATCTACCGCCGCGCAGTGGTACCGCCCCAAAAAATTTTATTTTGTGAAAAAGTTGAAAACGCAAAGTTCTACTGCGTGCCTAACCATTTCGATCGATGGCGATGAGAGGAGGTACAATTTTTTCTTAAATATTCGGGTCGAAGCGACTTTGACATAACCTTGGAAAATTAAAGCCCACGGCGATACAGCTAATATGTACAAGAAAAAAAGCAACGTAGATTAAAAATTAACGTAGTCTGTGGTTTTTTGTGACCGAAAGTATAATTTTGAACGAAGATATTTAGCCCTATCGCAGCTCGATATGAATAAATCGTTCCCATAATTTGACAGGCAAAACAATAACAATAATAGGGGAAAAATTGCTTTTAAAACAAATTGCATCATGTTTCCCTTCAGAATATTAAAAATTATGTACAGTATCGGTCATATCTATAGCACGCCATTTCAAAGTGATATTGTGTGCCACTTATTTTTATTTATTTATTTTTAAGAATTTTCAATTAAAATACAGTTCTTTCTCTAATAAACCCCATATAAACCCAAGTTTTACAATTTGTAGAAAACTTTAAAAAAGTGCAACAAATTTTCACCTATGTTTCAAACTTTTTTCTCGGAAGTGTTTGAATTTTTCTGAATACACAGTTTTATAGCCCAATCAATTTTAGTCTGATAATGTGCAAATTTCAAGTGGCTACGAAGTACCGTTAATTTTTTAGAATTTTTTTGTCGCATTGGCTTCCAAATAATGAATAAACTCAATTTATTTGTGTATGGAGGAAAACCGCAACACCTTTGGGGGAAAAAAATTCTAAAAAATCAACGGTAACTTTTAGCCACTTGAAACTTGCACATTATCAGACTAAAATTGATTGGGCTATAAAACTGTGTATTCAGAAAAATTCAAACACTTCCGAGAAAAAAGTTTGAAATTTAGGTGAAAATTTGTTGCACTTTTTTGTAGTTTTCTATAAGTTTTTAAACTTGGGTTTATATGGATTTTGTTAGAGAAAGAACTGTATTTTAATTGAAAATTCTTAAACATAAATAAATAAACATAAGTGGCACACAATATCACTTTGAAATGGCGTGCTATAGATATGACCGATACTGTATATAATAATAAAAGATGGCAAAACAGAAATTATTTGTAATGTATGTATGTGTATACCTTTCTTTTTGAAGATTTATTATGCAAAATTAGTTTTTTTTTTTTAAATTTGTTGGTTGAGGCTAAATAACATATAACATTAAATACCTAATATAATCAACACAACAGTGAAACCGGTCAGAGCTGGAAAAACAAGAGATCCGAATTTTTGCCCGTCTTAGACAGGCATCCGTATAGACAGGTTAATTAAAGAACGATTTTTAATAGTACGGGATTTAATTTCATTAAAAACGTATTTATGTGTGTAAGTAGCCTCAAGAAAATTCTGATTTTCTCCATCTATAATCTCCACCAGATATTTCAAATGACTTAAACTTTGCTCAGTTAAACAAAAAAAAATAAGAACAAGTAAGAAAGTCTAAGTTCGGGCGGAGCCGAACATTAAATACCCGGCGCAAGTATTAAATATATGTTTTCCACCTTTCCGAAAGCTACCGCTACATGATAAGCCGGGGTGGATCAATTTTGAGTAAATTAGCGTCCTTAAATTTCGAATTATTGAAGTTTCAAGCATTTCTGAAATTTACCGTTATATGAGAAGCGGCCGTTATTTTAGTCCGATTTCAATAATTTTCAACGTTTTGCTTATATGTGGCAAGCACAATAACCACACCGAGTTTGGTACAAATTGGTAGAACGGTTACCGATATACTTATATGAGATCATAAGTGGGCGGTGCCACGCCCATTTTCCAAAATTTTACCATAANCTGTTACAAACAACCGTTATGTGAACAAAATTAATATACCCTTGTGCACAAGTGCGCTCGGGTATAAAAAAGTAGAAAGAATCAAATTTATATTTTCTGTAATCTGCTTACTGATCAGCTGTGCAGTCATAAATTAAAAAGAAAAAGAAACTAAGCCCTTAATTAGTGCTTTCATGCTTTTGCTTCAATTTTAGTTTAAACTTTTCTAAAATTTTTAAGCTTACAATTACTTTTTGTTGCACCATTCATGTGCTTTCTCCCGTCTCAATGACGCTGAGTTGAGATAGTAATGAAAGTTTCTTTTTTTTTTTTTTTGGGAAAAGCAAGCGTGAAAACAAAAATAGAATCAAGGTAAAAAAAGGGGAAAAGTTGAAAATAATTATGAGTATATAGCTACAGTAGATGAAAATCATATTGAGCGGTGACGTACTTATTGTATAAGCAGGTAATTAAGTAAGTGATTGTAGAAACTTTGTGTGCACAGTTAAATTACTTTGCATTAACAATGAAGAAAATTTTTTGCCAAATCACGCGCTTGGTTTAGCTGCTTTCTAGAATCTGGTATGCAGCAACAAAACTGTAAACAGAGAAAATAAATATGGAAAATCACCGTTTGTGATTTACGTTTTGGAGATGAGATGCTATCGATACTAACGGCTCTATTCTGTATCAGTGAGAAATTTTGGTCACAGTTTTTTTTTTTACGGAAAAATATATATATATATATATAGAAATTTTAAATTTGTCAGCACAAAATTTTCGTCACCGATACAAATAAGTATTTAACATTTTTAAAGTAAAAGGGCAATTCTGGCTAAGATAGTTGTAAGACAATTGAAAGACAGTAGGCAAGATAGTTTGAAAGATTTGGTTTATTCTGACATGAAAATGTTACAAAAAAGCGGCCTTGCCAACTTTCATAGTCAAAAGCTTTTTGACAAAAAGCACTAAAATATACAGTGGTATCTGGCTGGAGTGAACATCCGATGCTACGAACACCTCGAAAGAGTGAACATGAAAAGTTTTCTATTAAGTACTCTATAGAGTGAACAATTTTGAGCCTTTGTAGAGTGAACAAAATTTAAAACCAATTCATTCCAAATTCAAAACTGTAACGAAGAACTTAATAACAAAAAGGATAATCCCTTCGCCAGGCCGATCCCGTAAATACCCGTATAAGGGGTTCCCAACTCGGAGATTCGGCACTAGTGAAGTGGGAAGACTGTCTGAAGACTTGTAACTTCGCCTCTGGTGTGAGCAAGCTTTGGTCAACCGTGAGGTCATTGTCCAATCCGACGAAGCATGATGACAGAGTTGAAATATCTTTTGGCAAGCACGCTTCGTCCGCCCCGAGCGATGCGCGAGCTATTTTAGCCGACAGTTCATACTGCATCCTCCGGCGGACAAAGCCAAACGAAGAGTGATCAGAAGGCTGCAGAAACTGCCTACACCAAGTGCGCCTCTTTTTTTCAGCAGCGACGAGGAAAGGATAGCCATCGGGAAGGCGAAAGTCTCCAAAGCAATTGAACCCGACGGAGTGGACTATCTAACCAAGGTCCTCAACCTGTCTATGGCAACTCTCATCGTACCAGACATCTTGAAAACGGGGAGAGTGGTTCCACTGCTTAAACCGGGGAAATCGTCTTCTCGCCCGATAGCTCTCCTTTCCTCGGTTGCGAAGACACTAGAGACCCTTCTACTCCCACACTACACAAATTACTCAACCCCAGCGAAGCATCAACATGGTTTCCGTAAAGTGCACAGCAAAACAACAGCACTTGACGCCATAAACAGCCAGATAACTCGTGGCCTCGGCGCATACAACCGCAATTGTCAATAAAGTACAAAGCCCCCACAAAGTCCTCAAGTCGCTAGCCGGCAGCACCTGCGGCAAACAAAGAAACGTTGTGGTGGCTGCGTACAAGGCGATTGGCCGGCCGGTTCTGAACTATGTAGCGCCTGTGTGGTTACCAGGGACTAGTAGGACGCAGTGGATGAAGCTGCAGACCTGCCAAAACACGGCACTCAGACAGCGGCAGGATTCCTTCTGATCATCATCATGAACATCATCTGCGCGACAAGGCACATATGCTCCCGATTAAGGAGCAAAACACAATG